GTTCTGGCTTCTTTCCTCTTTCCAGACTCTTCTGAAAACTCATTCTGTCAGGAGGCTGACCAGGTCAGCCCTGCCCTGTTCACCCACACTCTGCCCCCCCTCCCCCAGCCACTGACTTCACCCTGGGGCAGGCAGGGACGGGTAGTTCCCAAGGCCTGGACCATCTGTCCCTTCCTGAATCCGCCTCTCCCCCCGGCCCCCTCCCCCCCAGCTCTGCTCTCTGCAGGCGTTGGACGGGACTGGGAGCTTTTGCCCGAATCCTGCAAGGACTTAGTTGTCCTAGGAGTGTGCTCACTGCTGGGGTGGATGGGGGCTGTCTGTGCTGGTGAATCCCGGGGTTTAGCTTGAGTACCCCAACTTCTGGCCCCTCACTTTGACTCCCCACTAAGCTTTGCTCCCCAGGGACCCAGATCACCACCCTAAAGACAAAGGGAGCCTCAGGGGACAGCATAGAGGGTTGGCTCCCATCAAAGGAGCACCCCAATTTCTGGGCACCCCCCAGGACCCCAGACCCTAGCTCCCCACTCACCAGGCAGCCCCAGGCTCAGGAGGATGCTGTAGTAGATGGTAGGGATAACACCGGCCACACACGGGGACCTCTCCGAGGCCTTTGGCCAATGGCCTTCAAACTCCGGGCTCGGCCCACTGCCATTGGGTGTGGGCAGCATGGCCACTCGTGGCTGGGCAGCTAGGAAGGGCGGAAGGGCGTGGGGTTAGAGCACTTGGTCTCTTTCCAGCCTGGCCTAGTAGCAGCCCCACCCTGACCCTGACCCTGAGGTCTCTATTCGCCCCTGCTTTGTGCAGACCCTCAGATCAGGCCCAGCCAAAGGACAGTCTTCCTTGCCCAAGCCCACATGCCCTCCTGCCCTCCGTGGCCCGGCCTCCCCGCTGATGGAAGGAAGCCCTCGGTGGCATGTCTGGCTGCCATGGAGACCGTTTCCCCACCACGCTGCTCCTGGTGGGTCCTCAGCCTGGAAAGCAGGAGGGGGCGGCCGTGAACATGCCGGCTCCCCAGCCTGGCTCCGGGTAGGCTGAGCGGAGGGTCCATCGAGGGCCTGGAGCGGCTGTAATTTTCCTAAGTGTCCAGGCGACCGTGACCGAGGTTGACCCACAGCAGCTGCCTGGCTCCACTCAACAGCCACCCTCTCCAAGGAGAGCCGGTACCAGGTTCTCCTCTCTACGCTCAACAACCCTCTTCCTGGGTGAGTACATGGGAGCTGGGGTGGCCCTGGCTTTCCGATGGGGAAACTGAGTCCAGAAGGTAAGGTGGCCGCCCTGCGCCCCTCAGCCCCCACTTTAGGGCTTCAGGCTTCACCTCCTAGTTGTGATTTCCTGCGTTATTCCCTCCCAGCTCCCCCGCCCCGGACTCCGGACGCGGTACCTGTCCTTCCACCCGCCTCTCCCCTCCCGCCCACGTCTGGACACTTTACCTGTCTCCTGCCCCTCGAGCCTCAGGCTCCTGGATCCTGAAGTTGAGGTCGCCTTGTGGCTTTCCCCCGAGTGTCTCTGCAGGCCCCTCCCAGCATCGCCAGCTCTCCAAGCAGCTGTTTGCCCTGTGGCTTTTCCAGCCGCACTGAGCCCTGAGCCCGGCAGGGCAGAGAGGTAGGACGATGGGGAGGAGGGAGGAGGAGGAAGGAAAGGGTGGGGCTGAGTCTCCGGGGAAGACGCCTGTATAGTAAGTGTGGCCTGGAGCAAACCGAATCCCTGGGGGCCCACAGGCAGGGCCGGGTGCACCGCTGGGAGGGAGGCCTCGGGGAGAGGGCAGGGGCGTGCTCCCCGACACTCTGGGAACCCGCCTGGCTCAGCGGGGGCTGGCACACCCTGCGGGGCCGACTTTAGAGAAAGGCAGAGGGCTTGGGGAACGGACTCTACCAGCATCAAAGAGTGGAGGGCAGGTCTGCAGAGAGGGGTGAGGGAGCCAGAGCGGGGAG